TACCCATACCCTATATTAGAGAAATATTCTTTTAGGAATTCAATTAGTGTGTTGGCCAGGTAGGGCCTAATGTTTTGTCCGTTGACATGCAATTTACTGATTCCGACATGAATTTGGTTGGATTTTAATACAGAATTTATTACTTTCCATGTGCCTTTTGTATCATTAAAAACGGATTGAAATTGTACGGAATAATATCTTTTCTTTGCTGTGCGCAGTCCAGATGTGTCAGGATGTTTATATATTTTTTACATTTGGATTTAGATGATGCAAAAGTTTATTTCTTTTGTTGATTTTAATATAGACTTCGAAATCCGTGGCAATTCAATCCAAACACCACAGTAAACAATTAAATGAAAAAAAAAAACAAAAAAAAAACAGTGGATAAAAGCCTATGAAGAAGCCTGGAACAGCACCACCTTAAAAAACTTACATTTGCATCAAAATCCATTTTATTGCCCATAACTGATATATTGTCATACAGAGTAGCTTGATAGGTCATTACTGCATTCAAAATGTCTGTTATGCCGGCTGTACACACAGTCAGTGGTACATTGTTGTCCTCCAGAACCTTAAATAACAAGTCGCATCCTTCCCTATGAGAAAGTAGCACAAATGAAATTATTATACAAAATATAGCATGTAACTTTACTATTTTCTAAACAAACAGTTCATATTTTTACTGTAACTAAAAAGATAACTTTTTTTCTCTCTCTTTCGTGGGTGCATCCCACCTTTATTTAAACCATCGCAGAATAATTTTTTGCACAATTTGTTGTCAAAGAATTATATCAATATAATTTTTTTTCCTACCAGGAATATTAATTTTTTCACAATGTATTGCGAAGTACGCAATGAATAATCGTAAGTAATACCATATTCAGACTAGCTTCGCATTGCGATCGGTTGTAGCAATTGTGACACCCAATCGCAAAGTAAAATCGTGTCTGAAAGCTCACCAATAGAAGTCGATAAGTAATCGATTTCGCAATTGTTACCCGTTGCGATTGGGTGCTGCAATCTTTATTACTCCTGATTACCACGAAATCCGATCGCAACGGATTTCAAAATCACAGGCACTGATTGGCTGAGGTCAAACAAAACAGGACAACCTACAGTATATCCATGGAGGTATAAAATAGATAAATATTTTATACCTCCATGGTATATCGTTGCTAGTGATGTAAAGCATCCGAAGTAAAAGGTGTCTGAATGCTGTCGAAGTTTGCGAATGGTTGCGAACAATTTGGATTACAACTGTTTACCACCGATTACATCGCAATCGGTCGCAATGCAAAGTCTAGTCTGAATAGGGTATAACGTGAGGGTTATTTAGGTATGGAGATACAACTCCACAGGTAATAAATACAGATAATAATATTTGAGATAAACATTATTCCCTATCGGGATCCGAACCCAAGACCTTCCGGTTTCGAATACGATACGCATTCACATAATTATAATATATATCTACACATACAAACATACATATCATACACATATTAAATGTATGTAAATACTCAAACTCTCTTTTATGTAAAGAAGATAACTATTTTTTGCGTGAATTGCAACAAGTATGACCCAGAGACTTATTTCCAGTGGGGTCCTTTGAGGTTGAGTGAGGTTCTGAAAATCTCACGTTCCTCCACGGAGAGCAAGTTATATATATATTTGACGATAGCGCCATTCTTAATATGTTCTGGTTCTGGTGGGTAAAGCCGACCTCCTAAATACTCTAAAATTTAGGGTATAGCATGACGGTCAAATGACGAATTGACCACCGCCACAGTTTAAAACACTGCAGTTTGTGTTTGTTATATTAATGACATTTTTGTTCTTGACATTTTAGCAAAATGTATGTGTTTTTTTTCAGCCAATGTTTGCTATTTGTATAAAGTTTACGTATGGCTATTAGGCAGAAAAAAAAATGAGTGTAGGGGGTGGGGGGAAGAGACTATTTGATTTGACAAAATCAAGACCTACCTAAGCACAATATCGGATTGTTCAACCATTTTCGATATGTCCTCTTTATGCATTCCAGTTTCGATAATCATGCCATATAACTCTGACCACCTTTGACCAATTAACAATTACACGATTAACTCGAAATGAACATATTAATAAAAATAACTTCAAAGGCATATATATTATAAATCATCAAAGAAATGTAATATATATA